AAAAATTTTCACACTAGTTTTTGATAGAACTGGGCAGTTGTGTGAAACTCCCTCATGGTCCTTCCAAGGGACAAACAGAAGGTCCCCGTCCCAATGAAGTCTTTCCTGGACTTCCTAAAATCCCGAGAATACTACAGGCTCCAGCTCAAAACGATCATTTGGAATTCTTTCTCCCAAAGTGCAAGAGAACAGCCCCTGAGGCCAGTGAAGACTTTCCACGGGAAGGAGTTTGGAATAGCAGAATTGAGCTGAGCTAAGATTAGGATCTGAGAGGCAAGGGGCTCAGGGAGAATTGCTGGATTCTGCTGTTCTCCACGGGCGCTCAATGGTTGTCTTAGGCCTGGAGGTTTGGGAGAGGAGGCAGTTAGTGTGTGGGAATGGGAAAAGGTGGGACATCTGTTCTTCTCTAGAATTAGATGAATCCCCAAGCTCTGTCAGAGATGTGGCTATGTAGGAGCCACACAGTTATGGGGAAAAAACAAAGAACTTTGATCAGTTATGGAAGGAAACCTGGCCACTGAATTGATGGCTGCAATGTTGTGAAGCATAGCCCAGAAGGAGCCTCATGACTCCAGTGACCAACCAGCTGAAGGTGAGATTTTTGTCCTTCTAACTGTGCTGATATTGGGGAGGCACACGGATCTAGACCCAGGGAGATGAGGGGCATGCAGGTATCTTAAAGTCAAGACAAACTGCAGGAATTGGCCAGGCATGGTGGCTCACCCCTGTAATCCCAGCACTTTGGAGGGCCGAGGTGGGTGGATCACCTGAGATCAGGAGTTCAAGACCAGCCTGGCTAACAAGGTGAAACCCTGTTTCTACTAAAAATGCAAAAATTAGCCAGGCATGATGGTGGGTGCCTGTAGTTCCAGCTACTCTGGAGGCTGACGCAGGAAAATCGCTTGAACCTGGGATGAAGAGGTTGCAGTGAGCCGAGATCGCACCATTGCACTCCAGCATGGGTAACAAGAGAGAGACTTTGTCTCAAACAAAAAAAAAGGCAGGAATTGTGTCATAGATTATAATGTATGGACAGATTCCAAAAGGCCTAGCTGCTGAAGAATATACAATTCAAATCCATCCGGGTGAGGATGGTCAAGTCGACTGCGGTGGGAAGGCCAGAGTACAAGGACATCTGAAAAAGAGAGTTTATATATATGTACCTTTTTGCTTGCATGATCACAGACACCTTTTGAAGGACCCACAAGAAACTGAGGGCAGTGGTTGCCACAAAGAAAAGGAACTCGTGGCGGGGAACAGGAGAACTTTAACCCCATGTTTGCCCTTATAGATTCCCCACCTACTGAGTATTGTTACCAGGACGCTTCCCTCCACTCTTCTCTTTGCCTCACCCCACCCCATCCTACACCCAATCTATCACCAAGTCCTAATGATATGGCACCTAACTATCTCTGTAGTGCATATCCTCATTTCTGACCTTCTACTACCTCTAAGGGCTAGAATTAAATCACAAGCCCCTATTGTCTTTTGCCTTCACCTTTGCAATAGCCTCCTAAGTCTTCCTGCCTCCAATATAGGCCTCTCCAGTCTGCCCTGGCTGATTTTTCCAAAACACCAATCTGACCATGATACTCTTCTATTAAGTCCTTTACCAGTTCGTCCTCACCTACAGCAGCTGTTTCAGACATAAAATTCAGAGGGGAAAAAGACACTTCCATAAAGAGAGCTTGCATAAGCAGACCAGATTTCTTAGGGGACACTTGGAAACAAGACAAGCTGTGGTCCATGCCCAATTCCTATTCCACTAGCGGTAAGACAACCCCTTTCCTACCACTGGCCCAGTACATAGTAGATCTAATAAGTCAATAGGTACCAAAACCCCATCTGAGAACCTCTGACCCACAAGCCAAAGTCCAGACTCTATAGAATGCCTACAAGGCCCTTCTTGATTGCGTCTGGATATCTTTGCAACATCAATTGTTGTCACCAATTCCATGCTTCTCCAGATGCTCAACTACCTCATGAAATTTCCCTCTTCCATGTCCTTATCTATATGACCCCCTCTTCCTTGAATATCTTTGTCTTCCTGAAAAACTCTGATTCATTCTTTATAAAGTCCTGCCAAGCATCCCTTTTAATCACCTATGCTCCTGAATGTAGTATGTCTGTGCCTTGTATGTATCTACCGTTGCATGAGTAATGACATGCTTACATCCACCCACCACCCAGGTCTCTAGGCTGTCCGAAAGCAAGAGCCACATCTCATTCATTACCGTCTCCCCAGTAACCAGTCTCATACATAGTATTGGTAGCAGAAAATGTTTTTTGAACAGAGCCAAATCCATATTTTTCCTTTACCGTCTTTTCTAATAAGGATGTGTTTTAGCATTTGGTCTAACTCAATTTACTTCTTCATTATATATGGACTTACACAGTCAATCCTTGTAACCTTACAGGCCTTGGTAATTTTCCCTGCAAATTGTATTTTTCTGTTTCATGGCCTTATCATAAAAACTCAAGTCCAGTCACGACGAACAAGACTCCCCAGTACTGAAATGTGACTAAAGTTGTGACATAAGGAAGAATCTAGAAAATGTGAGTACGGTGTAAAAACACACCACTGCTTATTGAACAGCGTCCCTGGGAGGGCGGTGCTATGTCTATTGACCCCAGAAGGCAGCTCTTCTGTGGAGGAGGGTGAATCATTCCCTCAAGACCTCCTAACTCCCATTGCTCTAAATCCACAGATCAAGCCAGCTCTTGTGACTGCTTTAGTTTCCCAGATCTCTTGATAACAAGATGGTATTTCAGTCACTATAAGGATGTGTTTCCCCATAAGCTAATGCATAAACATTCTGATTGACACACCCATCATCTCTTGTGTTTGGTTCCCATGAATCAGGACCATTCATTACGTGGATAAAGTAGATGCACCTGCTATGTAACTCACCATCTTTCCCCATAAGCCCATAAATCAGTACTCAGGAGCAGATTCAACTTTGGGTGCACTAACAAATCAATTTCCTGTCCCCACAGAGCTGTCACTGAGCCACAGTGACCACATCAAGGTACTTCCCTCCATGGAGGCCCTGAGCAGCCAGCTGCCTTTTACGTTTTTGTCACTCCCTTTTAATTATGTTAACTACTTCTGTATAACACATTCACAATTCGCAAATATCTTCACATTATGTTTCTTTTCCTCTTGATGTCTAAAGGCAAATATTCTCATCCCCATTTCCCCTACAAGACAATTGAGGCTCAGGACGGCCAAGTCACATCTGAGGATCTACACGTCCTATAAGCTATAGATTACTTGTCCTTGTCTGCCCTTTACATAGTACAGTTCCTTATTCTTTCTACTTTACCATAGTGCTTTTCAAATCCTCACATCAGTCCGAATGGAAATGATCTGATGAAAGAGTTTCATCTAGTCGAACCCAGTGCTGGACTCATGTTGACAGTGATAGCAGGGGAATTTCCATGAGGAAGTGCCCCAAACCATCAAACCATCCCAAAATGGGACCAAGTGATATTCCAAAAAAGAAGCACTAAATGCCAGGGTGATTGTTCTGCAGTATTTAATAGGAGAGCAAATGTTCAAAGTGGAGTGCAGCATCCTCATGGTGGAAGTGAGATGAGGGATGTTCTGGCTGGGTACGTCTGCAGTTACTGAGTCAGTTTACAGAGTTTTATAGAACAGCTTAAGGAATTTGGCTCAGGGCAAAGGCTAGTTTCCATGTGTTTAACAAAAGGGTTGATTTTCCAGTGTTTTCCAGTAACAACTAAACAGCTTTGTCAGTGCTTGAGACTATCCAAGCCCAGCTTTGCTTCAAGCCTGCAGAGGAAAGCATGGAGATGGCCAAGTGAGGGCGTGGCCAAGACACTCTGTGTTTCCCAGTAGCAAAAAGACAGCAGGGACACTGGGATCCCTACGGAAGGGATAACTAAGAAGGAAAAATAGAGCTCACCTGAGTTGTGTTCACATAATGCATGTGTGATCTATACTCTCCTTATTCCATTAGCCCAGTGGGACTCTGGTGCTAAGAAAACTCTTCCTAATTGGAAGCTAAGGAAATTGATCCTCAGAGAAGCTGACTGCCTTTATCATGGTCATCGAACCATTACAAAGTTGATGTTAACTTGTTTCTTTGAGCAAGCATCTACCGAGTTGTATGGAGTCGAGTCCAGCAAGCAATGTTAAGTCATTATCATCACCATCATCCTCATCATCATCATCATTAGCATTAAAACTGGCACTTACTGAGTACTTACTATGGGCTCAGCCACATACTAAGTACCATTCCATCCTCACAATAACTCCCACAAGCAAGTCATTATCATCCCCATTTTAGACATACTAAAACTGAGGTGCAGAGATGTCTGTAACTTGCACTGTATCACAGAACTAGTAAATGGTGATGGTAAGATTCAGACCCAGCGTATCTGAGTTCAGCTGTCCATGCCCTGGCCACTATGCTACTACCTGTTGTACTACTTCACAAGTACGAGCTATGTGTCAACAAGGGAGCTTCTCAGGGTAGGCAGAGCTTTGGGTGGTGACACAAAAAGAGAAAGAAAATGGGATATCCAACTCTCTAGTACCACTCTTAGTTGTTGAACTCCCCAAGCCAAAGTCTGTATTCTGGCTGCAGTAACTGCTGACCCTGTATTACTCATGCCCCTCACTACTAGCTGTTCCACATGAAGAATTACTTTTCCATGCAATACTTTCCCTTTATCTCTATGCCACACCTCTCCCTCCCAACCTGCTTGCTCACTGCCCTTTTCAAGAAAGCCTTCTCAAATGAATAAAACCTGCCACCTGGTCTCTCCCATTCTCCGCAATATCCCCGTCGCCTGGGAAAGTGCTTGCTCTCTCTCTGTGATTCCACTCTAATGAAATGTTGCCTGCTTGGCCTCTGCATCTTTTTCATGTTTGTGTCCAACTCTAGTTCATGTGGCTCTAGTGTCTTCTTTCACCCCACAAAACACCCATCCAGGTTAGACAGTGCCATAAACAAAGGAGATCAAGCCACACGGAGAATTTCAAATGCAGTTTATTGCAGCAAAATGAGGAAACGGGGAGTTTAAGACCTCTCCACAAAAGACAAACAACTTGCTTACACCTTATGTACAAAATCAAAACAGCACAGAAATAGGATACTAAGGAGCTGCCCATGCCCTGGGTCTAACTGGTCCTACTCTGGCTGGCTTAAGGAGGTGCTCTGAAATGTCACGTGTGTGTATCGCTGAGCTGTTTCTCAGGGAAAGCACAAAGCAGAATCATAGCCAGGGGACTGAGATTGCCACTGATCTGAATACTCCATTGAGAAACAACAGAAAAGAAAGAGCTGGGGGAGTAGGATGAGCTGGTGTAACTAACCATAGCTCTTTTCTCCAGTAAGGCTGGGACAGATCGACCTTGGTCTTGCCAAGCATATGTGTTAGTGATGCTGAGGGAGAACTAGAGCTAACGAGACAGAGGGCATCTCTTTATCTGGTTACCCCAGAATAAGTGGTAGAAACAAACTTCACACTAGAACTGCCACCAGAGGACTTGACACCCCCAGAGCTGGATCCCCGGCCTCCTGAGGAGCCTCCAGAGCTCCCACCGCCAGAGCCCCTGCCTCCTCCTCCAGAGCCTCCTCTGTGGCCCCCACTGCTGCTTCCGGAACCATAGCTGCTGTGGCCACCGCCACCACCTCCAGAGCCGTAGCTGCCACCTCCAGAGCCATAGCTGCTACCTCCGGAGCCGTAGCTGCCACCTCCGGAGCCGGAGCCTCCACGGCCACCACCGCCGCCGCCGCCTCCAGAACCATAGCTACCACCTCCAGAGCTATAGCCGCCACCTCCAGAGCCGTAGCCGCCGCCGCCACCTCCTCGGCCACCACCTCCACTGATGGTGGTGTGGCTTGTGCTCACAGCTGTAAGAGGAGGCTCGGTTATTTTCAACTTCAATTCCCTTTCCAACCCAACAAAGTCTACACATGCTCCTGAGAAATCGGCTTGTACTTACACACACTCACGTTCGGGGCACACTCTCCAGACATCCTACAGCAGAAAAGAAAACAATTCCTCAGGACACTGCAGCTTCACAAACCCCTTCCCCATTCCCAGCTCCACCACCTTGAAGATTCTCCCCATCTGGGGCCTCTCCAATGCACTCGATCTGAAACTTTATCCAGTCCCCTCTGGCCTCCCAACCCTGTCATTTTTCTCAGCAAGAGTATAAACAGGGAGAAATTCCCATATACATGAGACAAGAGCCTTGCAGCCAGTGAAAGCCACCTCTGAAGGTGCTGACTTTAGTCCAGATGCCATCTGAGGCAGCACAGATAAAGAATAATTTGCTCCACCTCAAAGCTCTTCCTAGATATCTTATATCCCTAGAAGGAAAAATAAACAACTGGCACTCCAGCTCACAAAGTGAAACTAGATCTTTCCTCCTGCTCCATGTACCTTTCATTTCCCCATACCCAGGACAAGCTGCAATCAGATGGCTGTGTCTTCAACAACAGTCAGCTTTGCAAGGAAGTAAGACCATGAGAAGAGGTTTGACTTCCAGCAACCCTTGCTCACCTGCTTTCCTCTCCCTCCAGGAGGGTCCTGTAGGTGGCAATCTCCAGATCCAGGGCCAGCTTGGTGTTCATCAGCTCCTGGTAGTCACGCAGCAGGCGGGCCAGGTCCTCCTTGGCCTGCTGCAGGGCATCCTCCAGGTCATTCAGCTTGTTCTTGGCATCCTTGAGGGCATTCTCGCCACGCTGCTCAGCATCACTGATGGACTGCTGCAAGTTGCCAATCTGAAAAACAGAGAATCCACACATGACACCCTCTCGTATTATGCACTCCCCCCTTGGCCTCCTCATCCCATTGATCTCCTCACTCCAGTGAGGCCAATAGTGAGTCCGACAGAACCGCTGGACCTTATGTCATCTCACACCCACCTCCAGGTAATGCATCACCACGCTGACTTCCTTAAAAGACTTTAGGGGTAATGCAACAGCCTATCTTGGCCCTGAGTCAAGGCTCCTACAACCCTTACAGACTTGACATTCTTCTAAATGTCTACTCTAAAACCTCCTGACTACCCTTCCTCTCACTCCCCAACTCTTCAGTCCACTCTGGGTCATAGGCTAGGTTACTCACACTGACCATCCCATCTTTCTCTACTAGGCCATTCTCACAAATTTCCCTAAAGAGGACCCAGCATGATGGCTGCATTCTGGAAACTAGCATAGTGACCAAAGGAACCACAGGTAATAATGTAGCCTTGGTCTGAATTGCAAGATTCAAAACCAGGAAAGCACCCACCCTTTACCTGAGGGTTACCCCCATTCCATACAGCTGAGTGCTAGAAGGAGGAAGCACATACCTGCTTCTTGACATTGTCAATTTCAGATCTAAGTCTCTGGATCACACGATTCAGCTCAGAAATTTCCATCTTTGAATTTTTCACGCTATCCCCATGTCTGCCAGCAGTGATCTGCAGCTCTTCATACTAAAGATGGTAGATCGCATTTGTTAAATGCAGGCAGGACCCAGCATGGCACAGGCACAGAGACATGAGATAACACAAGGTAGCAAGACAAGCCATGTTAGGGAAACTGCCAGGCCTTCAGCCCACCCACCTTGCTCTGGTACAAGGACTCGGCCTCAGCTTTGCTCTTCTGGGCGATCTCCTCATACTGGGCCTTGACCTCAGCAATGATGCTGTCCAGGTCGAGACTGCGGTTGTTGTCCATAGAGAGGATAACATTCGTTTCACTGATTTGAGTCTGCATCTGAGACAACTCCTGCAAGACACAATAGGTCAGTGACTCTCACACAGCTAAAACAGAAAACAGATTGGAGAATGCGGTCAGGAGACAGAAGAGAAATCTCTATTCTTCTGAACTGTGGTGGGTGCAGGCTTAAAAACTCTCTGTTTAGATAAACTTGGTTGAAATGGGAAGACTTACTGCTTGGTAGAGTGCTGTAAGGAAATCAATTTCCTGCTGCAAGTTGTTAAGCTTGGCCTGAAGGTCCACCTTGGCCATATAGGCAGCATCCACATCCTAGAGGAACAAAGGGCATCATGAGGTCACATTCTCTCCAGGGCAATTCCCTCTCACTGCCTGTGAGGGGGTTCTCTGAACAGAAAAGGAGCTTTGGGTCTACTTCACACCATTTTACCCCAGATAGATCACAATTCCCCAACTGCTCCACCATCAAGGGAGCATGCCTGGCTTCCTGAGAACCTGCCTCTCCACTTACTGTGTAAGGTGCTGGGAAATATGGAGAAGCCAAGTGCCTGGATCAGTCCAGGTGCATGATGATGTAAAAATATAGCTCCACTCCAGATACTCCTCGGGTCTACTACCTGGCTCTCCATATCATGGCTGCTTTCTGCTTAGTAATTGGAGACCCTCTTCCATTACTTATTTCAAATGTGAGTTCCATCCTGCAGAATCTGCTCACCTTCTTGATGGTCACAAATTCATTCTCTGCATTTGTCCGCTTATTGATCTCATCCTCATACCTGCAGGAAAGCAGAAACAATTAGGAGATTCAGAGGAGGTAAGACCTGAAGTCCAGCATTCTAGACTAAAGGTGACATTGCCTATCACTGCCTTTCTATTATGAGCCTAGGATACATTGGCCACTCCTTTCTACTGAGCAATAAAACCACTAGACTATTTCCATCTCCCAAGAAAATGAAGATTTCTGAAAATGCCAAATTGACATGCCTCTAACCTAAGAAAAGACATAGCTACATACTGCTTCATGTATGTAGCTTTCTGGAACTCTTTTAGAGCAAGAGTTAAGAACTGCCCAGCCAGGCTCCCTTACTTGTTCCGGTAATCCTCCACCATGTCCTGCATGTTCTTCAGTTCCGAATCCATCCGAGATTGATCATTCTTCAGCTGGTCCACTGTCCTTCTGAGGTTGTTGATGAATGCCTCGAAGTAGGGCTCCAAATTATGGGTTCTAGTGGAGGTATCCACCTGCTGCAGCAGCTCCCATTTTGTTTGCAGTACCTGGTTCTGCTGCTCCAGGAACCTCACCTAAAAACACAAGATCCCATTATTCCTGATGCAGAAATTGGGTCCCATAGATGGAGGCCTGTGCCTCATTTGGAAAGGAACTTCAATTCCTATCCTCTGGCCATGACAGAGAAATACGAAGATGTTCCAGTTAACATCATCTGTATAAAAAAAACCCAAGCCTTGAAAGGGAGTAACTATACAATTATCAACAGCAAAGCACATATAGAATTATTGCAATTATGTTTTGAAATAGATGCATGTTACTTAAGAGATCTGCCTTCCAAAATTTTGTTTGGTATATTACCATAAAACTGATTTGCATCCCCTAGGCACACACATACTTCACAAGTATGTCAGGAAAATTCAAAATTGAATTTGAAATTTATTGTGGATAACCTTGGATTGACAGTACTAATGATTAAGCAGAAAGTTAAAAAAAAGGTTTATGTGGGGTTTTTAGAGCTGATTCTTGGAAGTATTAGTATTTTTTTAAAAACTCTACCCTTATCCAGTACCAGTGTAAAATTACTAGAAGGCAGAGCTACCCTCTGACAGCAAAAGACATTTGGCACTGACTTACTGCATATTTTCTGCTACAATAGCACTCTATACTACGTTCACACTCAGCTTTCCTTTCTATGGTAAGGAAAACCTTTCCAGGGTTCTTATTTGCACCCTGGAAAGTTCAATTCACCCCATTTATATTATCTTCACTCAACAGATATGAGTCCCAATTCAGCTCAAGATCTGAATAAAAAACACTTAAATGTAAATGTCTCACTGACTCATCTTTAGGTAGACCACAGACCTCTTTGTGCAAGAGAGAGGCATTGCACCATTCACAGGCATACTTCTAACATCTAGGAGATCATTCCACAAAGCAGCCTTTTAATCATGGAAACATTGAAACTTGAGGTTCAAAGCCACATGTATTTTGACTACACCAATCCCAAGTGGACCAGCAGCAGCTCTCACAGTGCACTGAGCAGAGAAACTCACCTTGTCAATGAAGGAGGCAAATTGGTTGTTGAGTGTCTTGATTTGCTCCCTTTCTCGAGACTTCACTTTTTGGATCTCAGGGTCTACCTCCAGATTGAGGGGCTGAAGAAGGCTCTGGTTGATGGTGACTTCCTGTATGCCACCAGGGGGACAGACAGGCCCAAAACCACCCCCATATCCACCACCCCCAAAGCCACCTCCACCAAAACCACCACCACCACCACCACCACCACCACCACTGCCAAAACCACCAAAGCCACCACCCCCAAAGCCACCGCCACCAAAGCCACCACCACCAAAGCCACCGCCACCAAAGCCACCACCACCATAACCACCACCAAACCCACTACCACGTCCACCTCCTCTAGCCACACTTATGGAGATGCTTTTACTGCCACCAAGGTTAACAAGACTCCGACTTCCAAAACCACCACCAGCACCAAAGCTACCACCACCGCCACCACCGCAGCTTGAAAATCTCCCACCCCCTCCTCCACTGCGGCGTGTGGAGCTGCTGGTGGTCCTGCGCTGGTAGTTGATTATCCCAGCAGAGCCAGAGCTGAAGCCCCCTCCACTTCGATACCCAGACCTGGAACTAAACTGCCGACTCATGTTGACTTAGAGAAAAGTAGGAGCAAGGTAGAGTAAGGGAAGGAGCTAAGCACTCCTCTACACCTCGCACAGAGACTTCCCCTTATATACTGGAGAAAATTGGGCTTAGTCCTCCAGAGTCAGCGGAGATGCAGTGCCTCTCAAGGGTTTGGCTTGCCTGCAGCCATACATGATTTTTACGAGCCTCAACAATACGATAAACACTACACACCTAGCTCCCAGGATGGGCTTTCAAAATTGCTGTGCATGCAAGATTGGTTCATGTGGTAATTATTATCAGACAAGATCTTCCTTGAAGCATTTGTGACTTTGAGAAAACAGGACCCCACATCTGATACCTGGTGTTTCTTGGTAGGATTTCATAACCCCCATCACAAAGGCATGCAAGTTTGCATTCTTACCTTGCCCTTGTGAACTACTAAGCACACTCTCTCACCATGCACAGCAGGTGCAATTCCCCATGCTTGGATCTCAGAAGGAGCTCTCTAGTTCGTTTCTAAGATCTGCTTTCCAAACTCCAGAGCTCACTCAGTTACATCCTGACAGAGTAAGGGCTTTAATAACTAAAAGATTAAAAGGTCTTTATAAATATACATTGATTAATTAAAGGAAGAGAAGCTGTTGTTGAACAAGATAGATGGGTAGATGGTCTGGAAGGACTAGAAGGGAGAGACATTTTTTGTTTTCTCTGTTTCTCAGTTGTTCCTTTTCTTCAAAGACAGAGCAGGAGAAAGACACCAGCAACAGAAAACAGGTGGCAATGGTCAGCATCCAAACCCCCTGCATGAAAAAGCCCATGGAGCGGTGAGATGAGTAGACAGATGCTCTAGTACAGTTTATAAAGCACAGGGGTGGAGGTAAAGCTGGACAGGTGATTCAAGCCTCACACTGGACTATAAAGAGAGAGAAATAAATGCAGATTTGGAAGGGAGGACAATGACAGGTGTCTGGGGAGATCCTGATCTGAGAAGTTTAAATTGTTTCTGGAGATAATGATAGTAGCTAACATGTATCAAAAAATGACCGGGCCGGGTGCGGGGGCTCAAGCCTGTAATCCCAGCACTTTGGGAGGCTGAGGCAGGTAGATCATGAGGTCCAGAGATCGAGACCATCCTGGTCAACATGGTGAAACCCCTTCTCTACTAAAAATACAAAAAAATTAGCTGGGCATGGTGGCGCGTGCCTGTAATCCCAGCTACTCAGGAGGCTGAGGCAGGAGAATTGCCTGAACCCAGGAGGCGGAGGTTTCGGTGAGCCGAGATCGCGCCATTGCACTCCAGCCTGGGTAACAAGAGCGAAACTCCGTCTCAAAAAAAAAAAGACCATGGACCAGGCACTGTTCTGCATAGCGCGTATGCATTAACTTGCTTAATTTTCACAACTTTGAGATAGATGCTATTTTTCTCCCCATTTGTAAAATGAGGAAACTGAGGCACAGGGGTTGAATAACCTGATCGAGTCTACACAGTTGTTGTGGCTTGGATCTGAAGCAAGGATACCTAGCTATAGTGTGCAAGGTCCTGAACAGCATGTTGTACGACAGCACAACAGCCGAATTCAAGTCACCCTGCCCGCTGTGTGTGAAGCCAGACAACATGCGAAATGCCCTACCACAGAGGACTCTGAGGACAGAAGGCCTGTTTCATCACTCTGAATCCTCAGCTCCTGACACATGCAAGGAGGTGCAATTCCCCATGCTTGGATCTTGGGAAATGCTTCTTCAGTTCACTCTGAGAAAAAGACTTTGATGGTGCAGAGTTTAGTGAGGAGATTTTACTTCCATCCAAGTGGAAGAGCACCTGGCATGCGTTGCAATGGACCAGAAAACCTCAGGGGCCTTCCTGGAGAGCAGCACTTGATCAATATCTATGGATAATAGTGGCATTGAGATCTGGACAGACCAGAACCCCACGCAGACTTTCATTTGAAGACTTCTTCGAAGCCTGGCATGCTCCCCAGGCTTGCACATAAGCACAGAATTGAGGACTCAAAGGGGAGAAGCCAGCTCTAACTTTGGCTGGCTCCAAGCAACTCTGTAAGTGGTAAATCATAGATGTACATGGAAAGTCTCCACTATAGTGTGCAAGATCTATGGCAGAAAGGGAGCCTGTGAAGACCATCTGGTCCCATTGCTCTGTGGCTCTGAATTGGGATGGCTGTGTCTGTCCTCTCCATTGTACTCTTCGCCATCAAGCCTGGTCCCTCTTCTCCTCCCACAGTTTTTGCCCTATGCTGTCCTCCAGAAAGTGCTCCTCACCACTCCCCTGCTCCCCGTCTCCCTTGCCATCACCATGGCACTGCTTTCTGGAACTCTGTCCTAGCACTAAAATCCTTCGTCTACTGAACCAACCATCTCTTTAGGGAATGAGTAATTCGGTCTTGTTGGGAACAATGGGGACTGGGACAGTCTTGGTGTAGTAATGACTGTTGCCTAATCATTTTCTGACAGGCAATCAAAATTATTTTAGTTCAGCATACTCCCTCATGAGACATATTGTTCTGCACAGTCGATTCCTTCCAGCATTTTGGAGGGAGTGTGAGTCTGTGTGTGCACGCATGTTTGTGTGCACGTGTGTGTCAGCCAAAATCAAATTTTGGCAGTGATTCACACTCCCATCTTTGAACTAAGAAACTGACATTCAGAAAAATCAAAGGTTTGGATGGTCGGGGAATTTGCAGGCAACTAGAGAGCTGCAAAATGTACTCCAGGTGCTCCTGTGAGAAGGGAGAAATGAAAGGCTGGGAGGAATAAGGGTCATCAACCTCACCATAGCTTACATTTGCACAGCTCACCCCACCAAACACATACACAAAGAGCATCCCCACAAGAGCCCTGAGAACTGGGCAATCGAGCTGTTCTAAACCATTTAATGAAACAGAAAACTGATTCCAAGAGAGATTAAGTGGCTTCTTCTAGACATTCCAACTAGGAAAAGACACAATTGGGATCAGAACCTGGGTTTTCTGATGTCAATTCAAGTGATATTCCCCTGAACTGGGTAAGAGGCTCAAAGAGAGGCCAGTGGAACTGGGTCCTGTGGATGAGTACACAAGAGAATTACAGAATGTTTCCATTCATGGCGCCTCAGAGATCACACCATCTAACCTGCCTCACAGAGAAGTGAGAGCACAGGCCCAAAGAAGTATAAATTTTTTTTTAAAGTGTCAAAGTCATAAGTCAATTCCTGAGACTCTTCCCATTACTGAATCAAACTCCTATTCTTTTTCCACTGCCCACTTTTGAGGCAACCCAACAGGGCTGGAGCTGCAGTGCCACCAGACCAGGCCTGTCATCTCCTGTGAGTCTCCAGGATCAAGGTGGGTGTGTGGGAAATTGAAAACCATGTGCAGGAAAGGCGTGAGCCACACACTCTCTCCTGTCTTCCTTACATACTGTGCATTCATAAAAATAAAGACAAAATGAGAGAGAAAGAGACACTAACATCTACAGGCAGCAACTACATTTTAGGAGCCACGTTGCATTTAAATACCACACAAAGTCTGTGTGGTAGGAGCTCTTAGCCTCATTTTAAATAAAAGGAAACTTAGGTTTATAGGGGTTGAAATATGTCCCCAAGTTCATCCAGCAGGTAACTGACAAGCCGCACTTGCCTCACTCCAGCGTCCAAGCCTGCTGCCTCGTGTGGGCTCCTATCATCGGCCTGCCTGCACCATCTGCACCTCCTATGCTCACCACTCCCCTGGCCTCACGCCTGGACCTCTTCACTCCCATGCTTTGCCCAGACTGTTCAACTCTCTTCTTTCCTTTCTATCCCCATTTCTCTCTGTCTTCTAAGCCCACTTCTACTCCTCTTTTCTGAAAGGCCTCCGGTTGCCTCGGCAACTTGCCACAAATCCCTACCCATAGTCAAGCTCTGGGCCACCAACGATCTCAATTCCTGAGCATTTGGTCCTGAATCTGTTTTCAGTCCATCAGGTCTTGTGGGCAAATGCCTTCACCTCTTGCTCCAAGCAGGCAGTGGACAGGTCCAGATCTCATCTCCTCCAGGAAGTTTTCCTCGATTCACACCTGGCAAGTGCCCTGTTGGTCTCTTTTCCCAAACCCAGCTGCTGCCAGCCTCAGTACATATCAATGCATTGGTTGGCTCATTTTCACACATGTGCTTCTGTGTTTCCTGGCCCCTCACTCACTCTGTAAGCCTTTTGAAAGCAAGACTAAGTCCCCTGTGCCTTTTGATGCCCTCCCAGCCTCCCACATGGCCCCTTATACTTGAGAGCTACCCCAGCAGTGCTGGATTACAGAACACCAAAACACCTCCCACCCAAGGACTCTCTCAAACACACACACACACACACACACACACACACACACACCCCAGAACTGATCACTGAGATGAAGCTGCCAGGGGCTTGCTGTGGGGCATGGGCAGGAGCAGGTGTGGTGATGTTTTGAGAGCTTTTTGTGGGATGGGACTGAGAAGAGTTGAGAGACATGCAATGACAAGCCACCCAGCCCTGAGGGACTCCACCAGGGACGTGGGAGAGGGAAATCCCAGGGGAGTGGAGAGAGCCGAGGCCTGGGCGGAGTGAAGAGAAATCAGACAGTGGGGAGGTGGGGTGAGATGTTGAAAGCAGCGGGGCAGCAGAGGAGGGGCCAAGGCTTCTTATGCAGGAGGGAAAGGCACAGACCGGAGCGGCAGCCCTGTTTAGGACAGACAGCAAAGGAGGTTCCTGGGAGTCACTCACTCGCAAGGCTGAGCAGAGCAGAGGCCAGGAAGGAGGAAACCAAAGATGGGCAGAGAGGAGAGAGGCAGTGGGGCTCCCCTTTGTTGCCCTGCACCATGGAGGCCTCCAGGCCTGGGCTCTGCTCCTGACTCTGCACCTCTCTAGGCAGGTCACTGACCCTCTCTGAGCCTAAGTTTCCTTCCTCTGTAAAAAGGAGGCCTTATCTACTTTCCAGGTAAACTGTAGTAGAGGATAGATAAAGAAAAAAGGAAAGATTTTCTCTCACCCTTGAGTTTGAAAGAAGCCAGAAGCTGACATAATAATCAGAAAAAAAATTTTTTTGAGCAAGCTCCTGCTTTACTGGAAACAGTGAAAAGGCTGGAACTGGACATTTAAACTCTTGACAT